AGGCAAAGACTGCTGGCCACAAGCCAAGGACTGCCTGGGGCCACCAGGCTGGAAGACACAAGCAAGACCACTCCCCTTGACCTTCAGAGGGAGCCTGCCCCCCCCAACACCCTGGATTTGAACTTGCAGCTGAGACAATACCTGTCTGTTGCTCTTAAGGCACCCAGTTTGTGGCATTTTGTTATGGCAGCCACAGGGCACCAATACATATCCCTCACGAAGACTGTCTTTTTCCTTAATTGCCCCTCCTTGAAATTTAGTACCACAGAATAGCATGTCTCTGTTTATGTGCTGTGGGCATATCTATGCTTTATACATAAGAAGCATGAGATGCTTTTTGCCCCAAAAGAGCCCATGTTCACCCCCAACCTTGACTATGATACATTAACTCTAAGAGCTAGAATTCAGTGTTCCTGTGGGTCAAGCTCTTCAAGCGGAAGGAAATGAAGAAAAAATTCTAGCATCAAGTTACAATATTGAAAGATTCTATGAGCAAAATATTGAACAATGCAGGGAGCATCAAAAGAAGATGGAAGGTTCGGGTCTGGAATTGAACCCACAACTGTGGTTTCCAGCCAAACAAAGTACAGGCATGCGAGTTAAACATTTACCTCAAGTAGACACACGCCCTGGAGAGAACAATCATGGGAGAAGGAAGGGCTGCTTATGCACAGGGAGATAGCTCAGGGTGCAGAAGAGTATGAAGGGATGGACACTGGGAGGAGGTAACTATGGGGAGGAAGTGGGAGGGGAGCTGCTGCATTGTAAATTTTGGTCAATGACATGAGACAAAGGATATGTGAACTGCTGCATGAAAAGTGAATTTACTCTGTAAATCTTCACCCAAATCCTAATAAAATAAATAAATAAATAAATAAAAAGAAGATGGCAGGAATACACAGAGTCACTGCACCAAAAAGAATTGATTGATCTTCATCCATTTCAGGAGGTGGCATATGATCAAGAGCCAATGGTACTGAAGGAAGAAGTCCAAGCTGCACTGAAGGAATTGGCAAAGAACGAGTCTCCAAGAATTGACAGAATACCCATTGAGATGCTTCAACAAATGGATGCCCTGCTGGAGGCACTCACTTGTTTATACCAAGAGATTTGGAAGACAGCTACCTGGCCAACTGACTGGAGGAGACCCATATTTGTACCTATTCCAAAGAAAGGTAATCCCACAGAAGGTAGAAAGTATTGAACAATATCATTATTATCGCATGCAAGTAAGATCTTAGTGAAGATAATTCAAAAATGGTTGTAGCAGTATATTGAGAGAGAACTTCCAGAAATGCCAGCTGGATTCAGAAGGGGATGTGGGACAAAGGTTATCACTGCTGATGTCGATGGATCTTGGCTAAAAGCAGAGAATACCAGAAAGATGTTTACTTGTGTTTTATTGACTATGCAAAGGCATTTGATTGTATGGATCATAACAAATTATGGATAACAATTGTAAAGAATGGGAATTCCAGAACACTTAAATGTACTCATAAGGAACCTATAACTAGACCAAGAGGCAGTTGTTTGAACAGAACAAGGGGATACTGCATGGTCTAAAATCAGGAAAGGTGTGTGTTAGGGTTGTATCCTTTCCCCACACTTATTCAATCTGTATGCTGAACAAATAATCTGAGAAGCTGGACTATATGAAGAAGAACATGGCATCAGGATTGCAGGAAGACTCACTAACAACCTGAAATATGCAGATGATACAACCTTGCTTGCTGAAAGTGAAGATGACTTGAAACACTTACTGATGAAGATCAAACACTACAGTTTGCAGTATGGATTATACCTCAACATAAAGAAAGCAAAAATCCTTCCAACTGGACCAATAAGCAACACCACGATAAATGGAGAAAAGATTGAAGTTGTCAGGGATTTCATTTTACTTGGATCCACACTCAACACCCCTGGAAGCAGCAGTTAAGAAATAAAACATCATATGGCACTGGGCAAATCTGCTGCAAAAGACATCTTTAAAGTATTAAGGAGCAAAGATGTCACTTTGAAGACTGTTGTTGTTGTTGTTGTTGTTATGTGCCATCGAGTTGGCCTTTGAAGACTAAGGTGTGCCTAACCCAAGCCCTGGCATTTTCAGTCGCCTCATATGTATGTGAAAGTTGGACAATGAATAAGGAAGACCAAAAAAGAGTTGACGCCTTTGCGTTGTGGTGTTGGGGAAGAATGCGGAAAGTACCATAGACTGCTAAGAGAACTAATGAATCTGTCCTGGAGGAAGTGCAGCTGGAATGCTCCTTGGAAGCAAGAATGGCCAGACTTCGTCTCACCTACCTTGGTCGTGTTGTCAGAAGGGACCAGACCTGGAGAAGGATGTCATGATTGGTAAGGTGGAGGGTCACTGAAAAAGGGGAAGTCCCTCAACAAGATGGACTGACAGGGTGGCTGCAGCAATGGGCTCAGGTCTAGCACTGTGAGGCTGGCACAGGACTGGGCAGTGTTTTGTTCTGTTGCACACGGAGTCACTATGAGTCAGGGACAACTCAATGGCACCTGACTATAACAACAACATTACTCAAGGGAGGAGCCCTGGTGGTCCAGTGGTTAAGCACTCAGCTGCTTACCGAAAGCTCAGCAGTTTCTGCCTACCAGCTGCTCCACAGGAGAAAGCTGTGGTGGTCTGCTGCCATAAAGTGTACCCCTTTGGAAACCCTATGGGGAAGTTCTCTGTCCTACAGGGTCAGAATGAGCGAGAACAACTCCATGGCGGTGAGTTTCATGATTCAAGAATACGGGAAGTGTTACAACGTGACCAAGGCAAAGGGAGACCCTGAGAGGTGTGCAGGAGTAAGTGCCAACTACAGTAAATGTTATAATGTCTACAGTAGTGCAGCAGCAGTAGTAACTGATAACTCGTGGGGGGATACAGGTGAACACATGTGTTGAGCAGGTGAGGGAGGTCACACGGCGCACACGCACACACGCACATAGGTGAGGTGATAGAGACTCCATGTGTATTTGCAGATGCTACACATGTCCTCACACATGTAACAACACATGGGACACAGTTACAGCAAAAGACTTAGACACCGGGACTGAGCCACTGGACTAGAGACCAATGACCACAGTCTCACGGGACATCTGGTCAACTGGCCAAACATGGTTCACAGAGATAATGTTCTACATCCTGGTCTGGTGAGTGGTGTCTGGGATCTTAAGTGTTTGGGAGCAGCCATCTAAGAAGCAACTATTCATCTCTTTTCACCAGGAGCAAAGGAGAACCAGTTAAAACTCGTCCTCAAGGAAGCAGTTAGTCCAAAGGACTAGTTTCCCACATGAACCACAGCCTCCTCTCACCTGAGACCAGAGGCACTAGATGGTGCCCGGCACCACTGCTGAGCACTCTGACCAAGACCACAGCAGAAGGTGTGATTAGAGTGGGTACAACAATGAACAGAAGTCAAAGCAAAAACAAAAAGCCAGATGTACTGTTCAGAAGAGACTAGAGGAATCCCAAGACTGCCCTGAGACAACCTTCTAACCTCAAATTGAAGACGCTCCCAGGGGCTGCCTTCCAGCCAAGTAACAGATGAGTGCTCTCAGAACAGTAGCTACAGGAGACCAACAGGGCAGCGTCGCCCAAAAGTAGAGTCGAGAAGACAGGGAGGGACGGGGAACTGGACGAATGGAAACGGGGAGCTGGGAGGAAATGGGGAGGGCTGACACATTGTGGGGCTCACAGCCAGTGTCACAGGGAAATTTGTGTAGGAGCTGTTCACGGGTAGCCAAGCACTTGACAAGTGGAGCCACCCCAGGATTGACTCCTAGAAGCACAGACTCTAGACTTGTTGTCGCTGGTGTTGGTAACAGTTGAGTGGGCCCCTGGCTCATGGTGACCCCGTGTACAATAGAACACAGCTCTTTTGCTAGGTAACCTTTCACTTATAACACAATAAAACGTAAAACAAAGCATGGGCAGTGGTGGCTCACTGCGGAACTCTTGCTACGATGATGTTCAGTGGAACTTCCAGACTAAGACAGACTAGGAGGAGAGGCCTAGCTGTGGACTTCCAAAAATCAACCCATGGAGACCCCCTGGGCCACAGCATCCAACCCACAACCAACCCCAGGGATGGCACAGGCCAGGCCAGCATTTCGTTCCGTTGGGCAACTTAACTCTAGCTAACAACAATACCAACAACAATAACAATTCCAGTCTAGGCTTCTAGAGGAGTCCCTGGATGGGTCCAATGGTTAAGTGCTCAGCTATCAGCCAAAAGGTTGGCAGTTCGTGAACTTACTCCCATGGCTTCCAACCAAACAACAGACGGGCATATGGGGTGAAGATTCATGTTAAGGAATCTTCCTTGGAGAGAACAATCATGGGAGAACAGAAGGGCAGTGTTTGCACAGGAAGACAGCTGGGGGGCAGGACTGAAAGGAGGGAAGGACACAGGAAGAGGTGACTATGGGGAGGAAGTGCGAAGAGAGCTGTTACATTGTGGAGAATTGCAGTCAACGTCATTAAACACAATGTGTATGAACTGCTGTATGGAAGATGAATTTGCTCTGTCAACTTTCACCCAAATCACAATAAAAATTAAAAAAGGTTGGTAGTTCGAAACTACCCAGCAGTACCCGGGAAGAAAGGCCTGGTAATCTGCTTCTCTAAAGATTACAGCCAAGAAACCAGCTGGAGCAGTTCCACCCTGCACATGTGGGATCACCATGAGTCAGGGGCGACTCAACAGCACACAACAACGTGCTTCTAGAAGGTGCCGAGTCCCCAGGGTCTTCCCCGCCTGTTTGCTTTCATACCTCCCTTCACCAGCAACTGTGTGCCGTTGCCCTTGGCCTGCTGCAGCTCAGGAATCTCCATGGTTGCCCAGCACACGTAGTTCCCACTGTCGTTGGTGTTCACCATGTCCAGCCTCAGGGTGATGTGGCCGGGTGCCTGCCAGGAGAGCCCTCGCCAGGGCCCACAGCCACACAGGCTGCTGAGGGTGTCATTAGTGACATGCAGCCAGCAGAGCTCTTCGGTGCCCTTGGCCCACCCAACACGGAGCCGCTCCCAGGCCTGGGCATGGGCCACCTGGCAGGTGAGGGTCACCTGGCTGTCCTGCTCCACCTGCAGTGACGGAGGTCCCTGCTTCACACTCAGGCTTGTGGTTCCTGGTAGGGCTGAGGGACAGGAGAGGTGGGTAAAGCTGTGCTCAGGGATGGCGAGTATCCATGTGTGTGTGTGTGTGTCCTGTGTGTGTCTGCAGGGGTGAGGCAGTAAAGGTTTGCTGCTTTGCTGGCTGTGTGATCTTGGGAAGGTTACTTCTCCTTCGTGAGGTTCATCTGTGAAATGGGTCTAACTTGCCCAGCTCTTGGGAGAGTTGGAGATGGGTTCTACGATGTGTCCAGCTCTTGGCCACAGAGATGGAGAACAGAGAGAGGGTTGAAGCTAGTGATGAGGTTGAGGGGGAGGTTACCTGTTGAGGAGGTGATTTTGAGCAGGGACCTGATTGGCAGGAAGGAAAGAGCCATGGGTGGATGAGTGGGAAGAATATTCCAGGCAGAAGGAATAGCCCTTGCAAAGGCCCTGAGGCAGGTCCAGGCCTGGTGTGTTGAAGAAACAGCAAGGCCTGCGTGGCTGGAACAGAGCGAGCAAGGGGGTGAGCTGGAGGAGCTGGGATCAGTGAAGTCAGCAGGGGATGGTTGATACGAGGATTCGCAGGCAACTGGGTGAGGCCATCAAGGGGGTGAGGAGTGGGGGAGCAGTTTATATTCAATCAAAATGTGCCGAGAGACCAAGGGAGCAGAGAGGAAGCAGGATTCCATGTCAACTTGACAAAGATCAACTTGACTGTGTGAAAGGGACTCTGAAGGCTATCCTAGAACTCCAAGTCGGTTTGGATGGGAAGAGAAGGAAGCAAGAACGGCAGAGAGCTCCCAGCAAGACGGGAACCCCAGAGAGGGGTACACAGCTGGGGCTAGTAACCAGGTTAGCTTTGAGCCATGATAGGGCCTGTTAGACCTCCAGGGAGGGACATGGTGTCCAGTCCCTGGCATTGAGCTGAGAGGCAAGGAGGATGAGATCCAGGGGAAGAGTGTTGCAGGTGGTGAGAACAGCACATGCAAAGGCCCTGTGGTCAGATCCAGTCTGGATGTTGGAACAAAAAGAAAGAAAAGCCAGCAGGTCAGAGGAAGGGGAGAGGGAGGAGATCAGAGGCTGGTGGGGCGGGTCACACGAGACTGCCCTGGAGCTCATGGCTGAGTTGGATTCTATCCCAGGAGCCCCCATTGGGGGGACATTCTGGAACCCTTCAACCCATGTAAGGCTCTGAGTGTCAGAAAGAGACGGGCCTATTTGGTAGGCAGGGCGAGTAAGGTTTAGGAGAGCTTGGAGAAGGAGGGGCAGGCTGCTGGAGTGATGGAGAAGAGGAGGGGAGGAGGCCCAGCCCAGGTACTCACCCCACAACTGTACCAGCAGGACCAGTGCTGCACTCAGGAACCCCATCCCTGGCCCACTGAGCCCCTCTCCCAGCCTGAACCCTCAAGCCCTCCCACTGGACAGACTTCCTGCCACAGTCACCTCCCCCACCCTCCCACCCCGCCCCGCCCCAGCTGCAGAGGCCCACGGGACATTCATGACATTTGTGAGATTCGAGGTAGGGAACAGACTTCCTGTGGTCAATGCTGCTTGGGGCTCTGCTTCCTGCTACCTTGTGCCTCAGTTTCCCCAAAGTATTTTTTGCCTGAAAGGCAGCGTGGTGTGCCTGCGTGCTTAAGGGGGATGTGTCTCAGAGTGCAAATCTCTTTAGAAGATCATATACAAATTTTTTTTGGGGGGGCTGGGGGCCACATTGGAGGGGAGTGGGCACAGGGCTGAGGAGGGGGACAGGGAGCATGGGCTTGGCTAGTGCTCCACTGAATGGCGGAACCTCAGCTTTTTGTCCCTAAAATGTTTTGCTTTGAGGTTCAGAGGAATGAGCCTCTGCTGATGGCTTCCGGTTCCCTGCCCCCGTGACCTGGGGAGAAATTTGGAGGCCCAGTTGAGAGGGGTGCATAGGCTCTGGGGTTCCTCCCAGTCCTGCACCCCTCACTCCCCAGCCAGAAGGAAGGGATGCAGACCAGTGGCCTTAATGTCTCACCTCCAACCACAGCATGACCTCTTTTCTTACCCAGAAGTGAGACACCAGCAACCTTCAAAGAATTGTTCCCATCAGCGACAAGCAGGCACCCCACAAAGGCAGCACTCTGCCTCCCACTAGACACAAACAGCCTCCCCCTCCCCAACCCTTCCTTGTCTGCCTTTTTGAAGTTCCCAGCCCCTCCCCGCCCCCACTTGTGGCTGAGGGGCAGTGCCTGTCGGTGGGTGGGGATGTTCAGCCCCAGGCCCTGTCTGGTCTGACTGCGCTCAAGCCCCTTTCTGGCTGCGTTTATGAACGCACTAAGCTAACTTGCTTGGCTCTTGGCTCTTGTGAGATTAAAGATGGGCTTTCGCCCCCACACCGACATCGCCTATTGTGTGCCAGGACCTCCCATCCCCCTCTCCATCCCCGGGGCCCCACATCTGACTCAGTCTTTTCTTGTCCTTCCACACTACCTCCAATTTCTCAACGCCTCGCACTGGTCCCCAGATCTGACGATATCACACCTGCCATGGGGGAGACTCAGCTGGACACAGACATCCCTAGTCCTGTGAATTCTGAGAGGGCATAGAAGTTCCGGAGAAAGAGATATTAGAGCCTGGGGCTTTATGGGATGTGTAGGAGTTTGGTTGTGAGGTGAGGTGGGGGAAGAAGGCATTGGAGACAGAAGACCTACTTGGGCAAATGCCTTGGCTTTTCAATAATGCAAGGCGTGGGAGTGGGAGGGCCAGATCTCAGAGGACCCAAAATGCCAGTGTGAGTGGCAGCAACAAGTTGTGTGTGTGAAGGGAGACAAACAACTGCGGAGACTGAGACACCAGATGAGCCAGGGACGGTCCCCAGGACACAGAGCAGGGACAGAGCTCGAACCCAGACATTCTGCCTCCCAGCCCCGGGCTCTCTCCATTTCAGCCATCTCCACCAACTTCTCCTGGTGCACCTCAGGCTCCAGGTGTCCCGGCTGTCGGCGACCCCCGGGTGGAACTACATTTCCCAGGCTGCCGCGGCGAGCGCGCCTGCGCGCTGAGCGCAGTGATGGAGCACTGACTGGGGGCGCGGCGGCGGCGGCGGCGGCGAGGGCTCGGCGGCCCATTGGCTCCCGGCAGCGGCAAAGGCAGCTCCGAGACCAGAAGAGTGAGCGGGGCCCGCGGGCCGGCCGGGCCGGGCCGGGGGCGTCTGAGGTGCAGCCATGGAAGACCAGAGGGTAGGACCTAGGCGGGGCGGGGCGGGGCTTGCACGGGGGGGGGGGGGGGGGGCCCCCCCCCCCCCCCCGGCGCCTCGGGGGCCGGGCCCCCCGCCCAGCCCCGCCCGGGACTAGCCTCCCACCAAATCCCAGAGACCCCCACCAAGACCCCCATATCATCTTGGCCTGGGTCCAGGCGCGTCCCCTCCGTGCCTCCACCTCTACCCGGCATACTGGTCCCAGCCCTGACCCCATCCCCCACACTCTTCATCCCCGCGGTGGAGCCGGTGTCCGCGGACCCGGTGTGCGACGCCTCTCCTGCATCCGCGACCCCACGCCTCCGAAAAAAGGGCTCAGAGCCAGAACCTGGAGCAGGACCCGCCCACAGGGCCGCCCTCCCAAGACCAACCCTTTTCCCCAGGCTACCCCCACTTACCTGGGCTCTCTGGCCGTAGGCATCTTGAGTACCCATTCCTCCTCCCCCAGGTCATCTCCCTTCTCCCTGCTAATCCCTTTGCCCAGGTTGTCTGTTTCCCCCAGGTAAGCCCCATCTTCAAGACACCCCATTCCCCTGACCTTTATCCCAGGCTAGCCCACCTCCCCTGGGGTATGTCTTTGCTCATGTGGCCTCTTTCTCCAGGTTAGCCCCTTTTTCTGCAGGCCTCCTTTTTTTTTTTTTTCTTTCCACAAGCTAGCCCTTTCCTCCACACCGTACCCCACCTTCAGGATAGAGGCACCTAGTCACAGGCTTTGTGGTGGTGCAGACCTGGTTCAGGGCCTGCTCTTTGGGGTCTGCCCCTTCCTCAGAGGCTCACTCTGAACTTCAGTATTTTATGTAAAATAAGTATGTCCACGGTGCGTATGACAAGACATCTTACGGCCAGAGCACCACGGCCCCCACTTCTCCTCCCTGGGACCCTGGAGGGCAGAGCCTGGGAGGCGGTGCCCCGGGTGGGGGAACCTGTCTGGGCTGAGCGGCTCACAGGTCGTGTGTGCTCTGGGCCGGGGCGGGCAGGAGGCTCTGCGGAAGATCATCACCACGCTGGCTGTGAAGAATGAGGAGATCCAGAGCTTTATTTACTCCTTGAAGCAGATGCTGTTGAACGTGGAGGTGAGGAGGGAGGGTGGGAGCAGCCAGGGGCAGGCCTGTTGGTCCACAGGCAGGCCTCAGTCTTCCCACCTGGACACGGGGTGTGGCCCTTCCCGGCCCTCTGACCCGCAGTGTCCACTCCCAGGCAAACTCCGTGAAGGTGCAGGAAGACCTGGAGGCAGAGTTTCAGTCGCTCTTTGCCCCGCTGGAGGAGCTGAAAGAGAGCATGCTCATGAAGATCAAGCAGGACCGAGCCAGCCGCACCTATGAGCTGCAGGTGGGGGCCGGCGGGCTGCCCTGGGCCCGGCTGGCTCGGCATCCCCTCCAAACCCATTCCTCCTCCCGCGCTCCAACTCCGAGGGGCCCCTGAGTCTCTCCCGTGACCGCAGCCTGAGGCCTTGGTGTTGGCCTCATCTCCTCTCCTCCTTTGCCTCCCCCTCCTGCCCCCTTCCCGGCTGTGTGAGTGCTCCGTGCTGCTGTAACAAACACCACAAATGGGTGGCTTTAATGAACAGACATTTCTCTTCTCACGGTTTAAGAAGCTGTCGTCAGGTGCCATGGAGCCGGTTGTGACCATGGCGACCCCACGGACAACAGGATGAGACAGTGCCCCGTCCTGCGCCGCCCTCAGACACGACCTGTGCTGTGCTTGAGCACGTTGTCGCAGCCACTGTGTCCACTCATCTCATTCAGGCTCTTCCCTTTTTCCCTGGCTCTCTACTTGACCGAGCATGATGTCCTCCTTCAGACACTGGTCAGCCCCTCCTGATATCATGATCAAAGTGCATGAGACAAAGTCCGGCCATCCTCGCCGCTAAGGCACATTGTGGCTGTACTTCCTCCAGGACGGATTTGTTTGTTCTCCTGGCAGTCCGTGGTATATTCAGTGTTCTTCACCAGCACCGTAATTAGGGAGCCAGAAGTCTGAATTCGGGGTGCTGGCTCTAGGGGAAAACTCTCTCTCTGCCCTGGGGAGTGTCCTCGTTCTTTGGTTCCTTAGGGGTCTCCGTGAGGCGTGTCACTGTCTTCTCTCATCTCTGTTGGCTTCTCTATGCTGAACGTCTCTTCATAGATGAAGAGATTGACTCAAAACAAACCCTACACTAATCCTGTCTCATGAACATAACAAAGAAAACCCTGTTCCAAAATGGGATCATAATCATACAGATAGTAGGGTTTATAACACATTAATTTTGGGGGGCACAATTCAATCTGTAACACTGCCCATGACCCATCGACCCCCACATCCACCTGTGGATCCTCTTAGTCCCCTCTCTCATCCATCCCCTCCTCTCCACGTGACTCAGTCTTTTCCTGTTCTTACACACTGCCTCCCACTGGTCCCCAGACCTGATGGTGTATCACTCCTGCTCAAACACCTCCCATGGCTCCCATGGGCCTCAGACTCCAAGCTGGGCTCCCTTGGGTTATATCCAAACATCCTGGGCAACATCCACAAACTTCAGCTTCCCATCCCCAGAGACTGCGGGACCCGTGGGCTTAGGTGTAGCCAGGTCACATGAGCTTTTAAGAAGGGTACCCCCCCCAGATGACTCTGGAGTTCAAGGACTAGAGTCTAGTGTGGCTGGAGTGAGGTAGGAGGACAGGTGGAGAGGCCACAGGGCCCAGAGCATGTGGGACCAGGAGGTATCGCTGCACTACTGCTGGTTTCTTCAAGTATCTTCCCTAGGGGTTGAAAGAGATGCTTCCTGAGCGGCCCCCACTGCTTGAGCCCCTTCCTTGTCCCAGGACTCCCTGGAATTCACTGCAGTCCAGCAATTCAGGGTAGTGCCCAACCCAGTGTCTCAGACCCCGCTGTCTCCTCTAGTCGTCAGTGTCCCAGGTGGTCAGGTTGCTAGTCTTTTGACTATCACCCTGCCTGAAGGGCACTGCACCCTGGGTCCTGAAGTAGATGAGGAGTCCTGGGCGGGTTGGATGCAGTGGGGAGTGGTGTCAGGCACTGTGTTGATCTGTGATACCGTGTCACCCACAGAACCAGCTGGCTGCCTGCACGCGGGCCCTGGAGAGCTCCGAGGAGCTGCTGGAGACCGCCAACCAGACCCTGCAGGCCACAGACAGTGAGGACTTTCCCCAGGTGAGCTCCCTGGACGCTGTACTGGGAGGGTCGCGGATAAAACACCGGATGCCGACTTCAACTTGAATCTCAGATACACAAGTGGTTTTTTAGTATACATGTGGTCCGTGCAAGACTTAGTATAAGCATGTCTCAAATGTTGCATGGGACACGTGTATGCTGAAATATTATTTGTTTTTCTGAAATTAAAATTCACTTTCAGTTTAAGCATATCCCCTGCAATTTAAGTATTTCTCAAGTTTTCCACGGACCACACTTATGCTAAACATTTCGTCATTGTTTACTTGAAGCGCAAGTTTAACTGGGGTTCCTGTACTTTCATCTGCTAAGTCTGGCCACCATGGCTAGTGGTCATAGGGCCCTCCATACCATCTAGGGAGAAGCAGCAGGGCTCCTGCCCCAGTGCTGGGACACTTTGGCAATGGCTGCCACACGGGGTCTCAGTCTTCCCATTTGTGTAGTGGCTTTCTGATTCAGTTGAGACAAGTCTGAGTTTCCCTCTGTCCTTCTCTCCAGGCTGCCAAGCAAATCAAAGATGGGTAAGATGCTGGGATCTGGCCCCTACCCCATACCCTGTCCCTGGTGTGAAGGTGGGGACACTCAGGTGAGGGGCCCTTGGCCCAGATCACTGGACTGGACCAGTGGGAGGGGGTTCCCACACACACATCTCAGACCCCGCTTGGAGCCCCTCCCAGACACCTCCCAGCAGGCTCCCTCCACCTCCCCCCTGCAGTGTGACGATGGCCCCTGCCTTCCGGCTGTCATTGAAAGCCAAGGTCAGCGACAACATGAGTCACCTCATGGTGGACTTTGCACAGGAGCGGCAGATGCTACAGGCACTCAAGTTTCTGCCTGGTGAGAGGGGAACTTGCTGGAGGGTTGAGAGGGTAACAGCCAGGGAGCCTGGGAGGCCCTGCCCCTGGGGTGGAGTCTGTGAAGGCCTTGCCTTGGGGAGGAGTCTGACAAGGCTCCACCCCTGGGGCGGAGTCTGAGAAGCTCTGCCCCAGGGGTGGAGCCCAAGGCTATATCCCCAGGCAGAGCCCTGAGGAAGCCCCTTCCCAAGTGGTGAAGCCCCAAGAAGGTTGCATCCCTAATTGGTAGAGAATTGTGGAAAAGTTTTGCCACTAAATGGTAGAATCCTGAGAAAGCTTACTCCCTGGTTGCTAAAAGCCTGAGAAAACTCTTCCCCACCCCCTCACTCCCTCACCCTTCAACCCCTTATTCCCCACCCCCAAATTTAACGGAACCTTGCAGAGACCCTGTCCCCATCCCAGAGCCCCGGGTCCAGAACCCCAAGAAGGCCCCATTCTGTCCCAGAATCCTGAGGAGTCCCCGCCCAGAGTCCCAGAATCGTGACCCGCTCCCCTCTGTCCTGGGCAGTGCCTGGTGCCCCCGTAATCGACCTGGCAGAGTCCTTAGTGGCAGACAACTGTGTCACCCTGGCATGGCGCATGCCAGATGAGGACAGCAAGATCGACCACTACGTGCTGGAGTACCGGCGGACCAACTTTGAGGGCCCACCTCGCCTCAAGGAAGACCATCCCTGGATGGTCATAGAGGGTATCCGGCAGACAGAGTACACGCTGACGGGTGAGAGCAGCCACTGCTGACCCCACGCACGTACCCTCCCGGCTCCTGTCCCGCCGTTAGTCCTGAGGCTCCCCTAAGCCCATGGGGTATGGGAACCCCACATCTGGGCTGGCCAGGAGTCTCAGAACATAATAA